ACGAAAACGTTAAATTAACGTACGTACTACTAAGTAAGTAACTAAGTACTACTACTACTATACATATTATTATTACTGTCATATACACACACACACACACACACACACACACACACACACACACACACACACACACACACACACACACACACACACACACACACACACACACACACACAAAAAGGTCATACTAGGCATTATATAAGTCAAAAGACACACATCCTTAAACTAGGTCTTCACACACCTTCGACGAAGCTTCATTCACAAAATATGATTTTGTTGAAGTACACTGAAGAGAGCGTCTAGGTTGTTGAACGTGTATTTCTCTCCAGGATCGCATTACAAGGGTGAATGTTACGATCACGTGTCAACTCAGTTTCAGTTTTGTTATCTCGTATCGGCCAGAGCTCACTTCGCTCAAACGTAATTACTCAAGTTTTTTTTTTGTTTTTTCTCCCTAGCAGTACTTGCATAGATATCAACGTCCTGTCCGATTTAGATATTTATTTATCAGGCTGTTATACTTTGACTTATAAGATAGGTAAAAAATTATCTCTAGGATGGAGGAGAGGGGGTGGGGTGGGCTCGTTAATAATGCACGTTATAACACATCTCATAAACCAATTAAATTAAATGTAAAGGCCTGCAGCATGAAATAATGTAAATTGTTATATCAATATGTGGAACATTCTTATTCGTTGGGAACAAAATAAACATTTATTACACCTGCGCACTAGCGTCAATAAATATTGGTGTTGTCTTTGAGGTCAGGATGTTTCCACGCGTTCGTTTCGAGATCAGATTGATTTGTTTTTAATTTTTATTTCAGCTATGTAAAGATTAATATTTACATTAATAACATGAGAACATATTTGGAAGAAACATATAACATTCTCCGAAATGTACCATTTAACAACACTATTCGGAAAAAAAGAATTCAATGCACTTATCCAAACCCGTTCTTACAAGAAAACGTTTACTTTTAAACCGATCTACGCAGTCAGATTTTGTAATTTCTCAAATTTCTAAATTGTCTATACCTTCAAATTACCAATTTGTTGTTTGTTTTATTTTATGTATCGTTCAACCCCTGTGAGGGCCACATATTGCATATTCGAATCCCGTCACACCAAGCATGCTGGAAAGCAGACGTCCATGTGCAATTTATTTTACGGTGTCAGCCAATATTACGTATTCATGGTCAATGAGGGAGGAAGTGGTTCCAAGGGCAGCACGAGACTTGTAATATCGTTCTCCTGAATTGCTTCTCGCCCTCACCACATGCACAATATTCAAATAATACGGCACTCGACTCGCAATCTGGGGGTCGCGGGTTCGAATCCCTGTCCCACCAAACATGCTCGCCCTTTCAGCCGTGGGGACGTTATAATGTGACAACCAATCCCACTATTCGTTGGTAAAAAGAGTAGCCCAAGAGTTGGCGGTGTGTGGTGATGACTAGCTGCCTTCCTTCTAGTCTTATACTGCTAAATTAGAGACGGCTAGCGCAGATAGCCCTCGTGTAGCTTTGCACGAAATTCCAACCAACCAACTAGCTATATTTGTTATCATTACAATTTATAAAGTTAGCTACCATACCATTTAATTCTTTGCCCATAGTTGAGCATAAAAGATAAATATAAAATTGGGAATTTAAAAACCTGCAAATGGGAAACAAGGCTGGAGATACCTTAGACATTATTTACTCAAACTACAAACTCTTATTTTGGCTCCATGCTGTTACCTAGAATAACATTTGGTGGAGTCAAAAGATGGATCTATAGATTGATCAAATAATGTCTACAGTATCTCCAGCCTTGTTTCCTTACTCTTTTTACCATTCCCATTCGCAGGTTTTTAAATTCCCAATTTTATATTTATCTTGTTCAAGTGTTATTAGGTACAGCTAAGTCTTGGACTCGCAAGCAATTTGTAAAATGTGTTTACAAAGCTGATGGAGTCGGACGATTTGTTAGCTCTAGAGTTAAAGTCCTTCCTAAATTCGATGTACATAATAATGGTGAAACTTATCTAATCAACGAGAGAAACATGGCTTTATTCACTGGGAAATAAACTCGGATTTTCATATACCAAAGTAAACACAAATGTACTTATTTAATTCACATTTTCCTGCACATATACATAAAAACGCGATTATGTGAAACAACTGTTATTTCATCGACGTCTGTTGCTTTGTAAATTAATAAGAACTTGGGCGGTAAGGATAATTTTTAATTCTCAGCTCTCTCTCTCTCTGTAAAAGTAGAGTATTGTGACCAAAATCCAAATGGATTTTTAAAAATGTTGATCGTGATATTCATACTAAAACTCAGTATTTGACAACAGTGAGATTTTGAAAAAAAAGGCAAGGACAAACCAACAAAGAAAGATTAGCTAAACTGCACACCCGGCACGCTCATCTAAATTAATAAATACACCTAAACGTGCCTTATAGGACTAGCGTACCGACGAATATGTATAGAGAGACGTTGAGGAAAAGCTGCTTTCATGCTTGTGGAACTCTGTGTTAAGTTTTTGCAGTCCTCGTCTCGCTGCCAGCGCTTGATAAAACTCCACGCGTCATGCTTCACCATTTGTCGCTGTCTGTCGAAGCGGTGTTAAGCGGATAGAAGTATGAACAGGTGCTTCCTGTAGATGACGAGAAAGTTATCCCTATTGGTTTATTATACTGGAATAACGTTATACAAATGTCTTTCGTATAACGTCTTTATGACGTTAAGGTTGTGTTTTGACCTGTAATGACGTCAAGGTTGTGTTTTGACCTGTAATGACGTCAAGGTTGTGTTTTGACCTGTAATGACGTTAAGGTTGCGTTTTGACCTGCAATGACGTTGAGGTTGCGTTTTGACCTGCAATGACGTTGAGGTTGCGTTTTGACCTGCAATGACGTTGAGGTTGCGTTTTGACCTGCAATGACGTTGAGGTTGCGTTTTGACCTGCAATGACGTTGAGGTTGCGTTTTGACCTGCAATGACGTCGAGGTTGTGTTTTGACCTGTAATGACGTCGAGGTTGTGTTTTGACCTGTAATGACGTCGAGGTTGTGTTTTGACCTGTAATGAC